TGCTTTGTGACCACCTAGAGGGGTGGGATAGGGAGGGTGGGAGGGAGACGCAAGAGGGAGGGGATATATGTATATGTGTAGCTGATTCACTTTGTTATACAGCAGAAACTAACACACCGTTGTAAAGCAGTTATGCTCCAATAAAGATGTTTAAAAAAATAAGATAAAGTAAAATAAAATAATAAAAAAAAAAGATTGTCCAGCTCAAAATGTCAACAGTGCTGAGGCAGAGACCCCTGATGTAGAAGACTGGCATCCAGCTGCCCATTCCACATAAGCCATGACCTGCCAAGGGTGCCATTGCATGTGGCAAGGACTCCCTGTGCAGCACCAATCTTCTTATAGAGTCTCAGCATCTGGGGAGTGGGGAGAAGTGGGTCATTTAGGGACCATGTGTAAGTCTACCAGAGAAGAGAGTAAATGGTGCTGGGGTTCTTCCTCCTTATCCCAGCATTTCCCTGCTGGTCACATCAGGTTATGACGTAAGCAAGGGGACTTTGAAAGAAGTCATCTCAGAAGATATACTTGAAAGCTGACAGGTGTGTGCAGAGGGAAGGACTCTCCTAGTCACTTAACCTTGAAAAGGGCCTGGGTCGGGGGCAGGGTGGTAGCTTTCCTGTGTCTATGAAACATAGTCCTTATAGGATACCAGCTTTCTGAATCATTTACCCCCCATGCCAGCAACTTGAGGTTTTTCCTTAGCCAGAGCTTGGGTTCTGGGCTGGCTGAACTGATTTAGCATGCTTTTGTGGAGAGGGGGACAGAAAGAAAGAGATTACGAGAGTAACACACTCAACACAAATATGTGGGTTTAGGGAAGCAAATTGAATATACCTGCTTCCCCTGGTGAGACAGATGCTGTCTGTGATCATGCATAGATACAGTCTCCACTGACACCAGTGACCAAAGCTTTTCTCTCACAGGGTTCTGGGATGTTGTGGATTTACGCCACCATCTGAAGCACCCATTTTAAATGACCTTTCAATGAGAAGTGTTTTGGAGAGCATGAGAATAGAATAGGAAGATGCTACAATTTCTAGGTTAATGCTAAACAGTGCTTGATCCAGTTGCCATGCCCGATCCCCCTACGGTAATATTAACTAGATAACACTTCCAGCTTAAATGGGCCAAGCTTCTGCTGTTTTGTGCGGACTGCAGATTCCTTGAGAGCCCTTAGTCTGCCTTTCTCTCCGTGCTTGCACCTCCCCTTGGTCCTGTGTGCACCTTACATTTTGATCCATTCATTTGGAGGCTTTATTTGAAGCCCTTCTCAGATATCCTTAGGGCAGCTTTTGGCTCCTAGGAGTTGATTTTTGCCCCTTAAGAGGCCTCTCCAAGCGATCAGTGGCATGCATAGACTTTCTTTTTGCTTTTGGAACGGTGGTGGTTTTTATCTACAAGATTGTTCTCCCACTTGGGGCAGTCTGCCCCGCAGCAAACAGATGTTCACATCCAGATCTCCCCTCTAGATGAATAAAATCCTCCCAGAGGCTGCTGCTGGCTGGAAGAAATTCTTTTGTGCATCTATAAAGCATAACTGTGCCCTAAGCAACCACCTTTGATGTATGTTTTGTGATTGGGGAAGGAAAAATTTTTTTAAAACATCTTCATCTGCCAAACTCTTACACATGAGAATTTTTGTTGACTGAAGCCTTTATCCACTGTGAGCTTTGACCTCTCCCATTAAGGAAAGGGTTAGATTGAGTTGTTGTTTTTCTTTTTTTTTAATTATATGGCTCTTCAATTTTATTCTCTATGCTGTTTGGGCATAATACTTTCTCAGCAAAATGGGTGTGATAACTGTCTTCCAAATCCCCATCTTGTTTGGTTTGCTGAGACAGTTTTCATCCAAGCATAAAATACTTTGTTCAAAGAGTCACAGTTCAAAAGGTGGAAGTTTAAGTCTGTGGGCATGCTAAAAATGAAATGAGAATACTTATTTTTTGGAGGACATTAGTTTTGCCTCACTACCTTGGATTCTCATCTTTCATAAGACCTAAGATCAATGTACTTTAGGGTACCAACATTTTTCGTAATTGCCTAATGCATTAACATCCTTCAATACCAAGTATTAACTTTGACTGTGAGATCACTAAACCGTATAATGATTTTGAACACAGAATAATAACTTGACTTTTCAGGACCACTGAAGCTAAGAGCAAACTTTTGAGACAATGACATACCCTTAAACACAAATTTAATCCTGGAATCTAATAAAATGTTTCTTGAGCCATATTTATGGAAATCTGATAACTTAGTTTCTATTTTCAATTATGATACTAATTTAGGCATTAAAGACACAAACCACAAAGCACAGTGAGTGGGCAATCTGATTTTAACTCTTCAGCTACAAAATGGTCATAAGCCTAATTATTTAATTTTCCCCGTGTCAGGAGAGGAAAAGTCTAGGAATGTTACCTTCTGTAAAAGAACAAAATGTTCATCGCTGCAGAGAAGGATTTATACCTGAAATCTTTGGAGAACAATGAGAACCAGAAGATTTTTCTTTTCTTTTCTTTTTTTCTCTTGCAAATCCAGATCACACTACTGATTACTGACATTCATTGCTAAAGGCAGTACTCTGTATTCAGTAAATTAAACTTGTATTTCAGAGTCCAACAAAATAATTGACCTCAAAAAGAAGATAAATGAATAGGCTATCCTGAGCTCGTGATGAAAATCTACTTTCCAGTCTCATTATATTAGTATTTTACAATTCGGTGATTTTTCCATTCTTTCATAGTTTCTTTCACAATTATAACACCTTTCACTCTGCTCCTATATGAACAAGGCCAAGCTATTTTCATCCTTGGTTTCAAGACTGAAAGGTTTTACTATGCTATTTTTATACTTTGTTATTAATATTAATAATATATTATAATATATTAATAATATAGTTTCCATTTTAGGATAATATAAGTTACTAGTAAATTTCTGAAAAACTTCTGAAATGTTTCTTATTTCATAAAATCATAAATAATATAGACATATAGCATATATAAATATTTTGATTAATTAATCCTTTGACAGTTTTGAACATTTTTGCCCTAAGTGATTTTCCTTAATGAATCCTTGAAGATTAGGGAGGTTTAAAACTATTTAGCCTGATTTTTACATTTGGGAAAAATTAAAATAAGAACTGTTTGGTGCCTTGAACAAGATTACACAGGGGTGATAAGCCATGACCTTCAGATAACCCCTCGGTTTTTGCTACCAGTGTAGCAACATAATTTCTGTATTTAAGGAAAAAGAATGTATTCTTTCGTAGTAAGAGGATAAACATTGAACAGAGTCCTTTTTAAGATTTAGTGTATTGGTTTTATTTGAAAACAAATACAAAATAATCACCATTATAGACACCATTTTATCAAGACAGTGATTCAATGCTGTATTATTTGGAATTGAAGGAGCTAAATCAACTGCTTCTTCAGGCACCTTCTGATAAAGACAAAATTAGGTGTAGCTTCCATAGAAGAATTCATAGGCAGAGTCATTGCTTCCTCTCTTCTGCATCTCAGGAAAAGAATCCCGCAAAAGCCCCTAGAAAAAAGAAGAGGTTTTTATTTGATTCCTACTGGGATTCCTTGAGGTATCCAGGACTTGCTTTTTCCCCGGCTTTAACTGAGAGGGGCCGTAGCTTCTGGGAATAAGAGGGAACTGTAGGAGGTAAAGCAGAATTACTCTGTTGTTCGTAACTTGGATTTACAGACTCAGAAGAATGATCTTTCCATAGCCTTTTTCCCACCCCCAGTCACATTCTCTGAATGGGATAAAACTTGAGCTTGCTCTACCCAGGCTCATTTGTGCAAATGGATAAGTATCATACACATATGCACTGTGTCTTTTTTTTTTTTTTTTTTTTTTTTTTTTTTTTT